TTTGGAACAAGTGAAAAAGTCAAAAACTAAATCACACTATGTAAAAGATTTTTACCTTGCTGTTTGACAAAGCCCTTTGCATCAATTTAACAATTTGTTTATGAAATTTAACTTCAATGTTATGTGGATCAAACTCTGAAGCTTTTGCTATAGCTTCAGCTGCATCATCAAACCTACAACATGAAACTCTTTACTCCTTTTTATCCATAAACAGAAACCTAAATATGTAACCAATCAATAGGTCTATAAAAAAACTCAACTTTCTAGATCAAAGTACATTTGAGATTTGACAAAAATAATGTAAGCTTCACTGATCATATCGAAAAACCGAGTTTGTGAGTAAGAAATTGGAAATGGTTCTACATTGGGGAGGGCTGCTAGTACATTTTCAGCCTCATGAAGCCGTTGGAGTTCCAATAATGCTTCAACATTACACATAGCTAGCTGCAGATTTTGAGATATATGTATTAAAAGACTTTAAACGTTTGAATTTCTACTTATTCTTAATACAAGAATGTTTGTTGTTTTACCTCAGGAGACAAATTAGCTCCAGACTCCATAGCTGCACTTACTTCATTGAAAACATCGTTCCATTCATCGCGTCTTCTTGCATATGCGCATTTGTCCAAGTGTGGTTCTACATTTTTAAGAATCACCCAAAAAAAGTCATCTAATAATTTCTTCACAGAATGCTTCCTCGCATGATCAACCTGACCTATTCTGCAACCAAATTTAAAAAGACTCAAATAATCATCAAGGTTTATTCTTTCTCTCCATTGAAGAAAACAAAATTATTCAGTTTTATTACCTTAGAAATATCAAGGCTAAATTGTTATGAGCTCGTACAAGTTTTGGATTCAAGTTTATGGCTTTCTCATACTCTTTCACAGCTTCCCAAATCTTTCCTATTCTCCATAATGCAGCTCCTCGATTGCTATGGTAAGCTGCGTTTTCAGGATCAAGCTCTATTGCTCGATCGCAATATTCCTCGATTCTTCTGTTTGTGGCTATTTCAGGATCAGTTAGTTTCTTCAACGATGTATCTGCGCTTGAAACTGACGTTGGCATCTCAGAAGAAAATATATTACGTAACCAACTAAGCTTGTCGTCTTTTGTAATCAATGGTTCGCGAAAATCATCTGGTTTATTGAGCTTCGACATTGTTATGTGTGCAAAAATTACGAAAAGAAGATAGCTATGAAAGACTTGACTTTGTTGATTTCACAACTATCATATCATATGATATGTGCAACGTAATTTATACAAGAGAGCATATGGTCGGCCTATTCCTCCCAGGAACTATTTTCCTATAAAATAAATATATGTAGATCCCAATAATTAGAACTTATCTCTAGGATAAGAGTATATATAAAACTATTAGTGACATTTTTGAAAAAAAAAATTAAAAATGTCACATCTCAAAAGTGGCATTTTTGAATCAACATCTTCATATGCTCAACACCAAGAGAAGCAATCCAGTATTTAATAAGAACCGGTTAAAAATCCGCTCAAACAACCAATAAAATCTAACCCAGCCATTGAAGTATACGAGAAGTTAAACAGGGAAAAAATATCTTACAGTAAAGAGAAACAAGTTTAAGATATAACTTTTCGGTACGGGCCAATGCAGTTTAGAAACTCATCAAGACAAAGAAACTTCTTCACATCGCGAGAAAACCTCAATGCAACTTGAGCTTGAAACAAGGATTTAGCAATGTATTTATCACAAGGTAGTGTCTGACTTAAGATCTCATAATCCCTTATTGCTTCAGCCCATTTTTCCAGCTAACATTTCACAAGAAGAAGCTTTAGAACAAGTGAATGAAAAAGCCTAAAACTAAATCACACTATAAAAGAGATTTGTACCTTGTTATTTGACAGAGCCCTTTGAATCAGTTTCAAAATTTTCTTATAAATTTGAACTTCAATGTTATGGGGATCAAACTTTGAAGCTTTCTCTATGGCTTCAGCTGCATCATCAAACCTGCAACATGTAACTCTTTAATAACAGAAAATTAAACATATAACCAATCAATGGGTCTATAAAATCTCACCTTTCTTGAGCAAAGTACATTTGGGATTTAACAAAAAAATATGTAAGCTTCACTGATCATATCGCAAAATCGAGATTGTTAGAAAGAGGCTGGGAATGGTTCTACTTTGGGGACAAGTGCTAGTACTTTTTCAGCCTCACGAAGCCATTGGAGTTTCAGTAGTGCTTCAACTTTACACATAGCTACCTGCAGATTTTGAGATATATGTATAGTAAAAAGACTTTAGACGTTTTGATTCTGAATGTTTGTTGTTTTACCTGAGGAGACAAATTATCTCCAGACACTATAGCTGCATCTGCTTAAAAAAAAAACATCGCTCCATTCATCGTGTCTTCTTGCATATGCGCATTTTTCTAGGTGTGTTTCTACATTTTTAAACATGGCCGAAAACTTCTCATCTGATGGTTCCTTTAGAAAATGCTCCCTCGCATTATCAACCTGACCAAATCTGCAACCAAATTAAAAGAGTCAAATGAATTAAGATTTATACTTTTATATCTATCAAGAAAGAAAAAAAATCATTGAGTTTACCTAACAAGCATCGAGGCTAAACATTAATGAACTTTTACAGTATTTGGATTCAAATTTAAGGCTCGGTCACACTCTTTCCAAAACTTTCCCAATCTCCACAATGCAGCTCCTCGATTCCTATGGTAATACGCGTTTTCAGGATCAAGCTCTACTGCTCGATCGTAGAATTTCACAGCCTCTCAGTGAAATGACCTTCCGAGAAACATCTGTTCCCAGTTTTGTAGGCTATTTGAGACTCAGTCCGTTTCTTCAACCGTGTAACTCCGCTTAAAACAGATGTTAGCATCTTAGGAGAAAATATCTTACGTAACAAACAATGGTTCGCGAAAATCATCTGGTTTATTGAGCTTGGACATTGCGGCTCCGCAAAGAGATAGTTGTGAAATGATCATATATTATATATGTGCAACGTAATTTATACAAGAGCATATTCCTGCTACGAATTATTTTCCTAGGATATAGCCAAACAATTAGAACTTATCTCCTAGGATGCACGGGTACCTCATTTTGGACCAAGAACCCGTCC